ATTTGAAGTCAAATATCAGCAATGATCTCACTGAATGGCAAAACATGCTGGAGGGATGAGATGTCTTTTATATTCGTACGTGACAAGCAACTTTTTCATACAGAGGATGGTGTGTATTTGGAACAAGATGCCAGAGGAAGTGGTAGAGGTGGGTACAGTTACAACATTTAAAAGACATTCAGACAGATACATGGATAGGAAAAGTTTAGAGGGATATTGGCCAAATGCAGGCAAATGGGACTAGTTCAGTTTAGGAATCCTGGTCAGCATGGACGAGTTGGGCTGAAGGGCCTGTTTCCGTGCTGTACGACTCTGTGATTCTACTGTGGTCAATTTATTTCTTGTGTCTTAGAAGTTTACCTTTTGTCTGTGTTTGCTATCGTCTCCCTGTCAAACCTAATATCAAATTCAATCACATTCTTCCTAAGATGTTTCCTTACTGTGTATTTTAATTAATTCTGACTTGCTTCTCATTGCCGTGGGAAGGGACTGGGATATCAGGAGATACAGCATGGGATTTGATGGAAATAGTATGGGAAATGGTAATAAGAGAGAGGGATGGGACGGAAATGAAATAAGGGCAGTGAATGGAATTCAGTGTGTGTTGCATGAGAGGGATGACATGGGAAGGATGGAATGACACGACGGTTGCAGTAAAGATAGTAATTTCACCTCAAATGTTTTGTGGGTCTCTATTGGTTATAAAAATGCCATTCTAGACGTTCTAGAATTTTATTTTCCCTTTTACTGTCCAGGCTGTTCTATTTCTAACAATATAAGTGGAATTTAAAATCTCCCATTATAACCATGTAACGTCTGATCCATCCTACCCTGATCTCTATTCTTGAACAGCTGTTTATTGCATCAATACTGTTAGAAAGTCTCTTCTCAATCTCTTTTCCTCTTCTTGCGGCAACTGCCTGATCTTTTAGTAAATCATCCTCCTCTGGCGCCTCTTCTCTCTTATCCAGTTGGCTGAAACTTTCCTTGCCATTTTATTTCAATTGTCTAATCAGTTGCTGCCGGAGAATCAGTTGCAATGGCTTCCCTTCTGATTCTTGCACAGCCACATCAGAAGATCCCCCCGGGATCTCACTCGAGCCCCCTTGTGCCACCATCCACCAACCATTTTCAATTCCATACATTGACCTTATCACCATCTCCCTTAACCCCTGCACTGTCTCTAAGGTCACTGCATGTCCAGATGAGTAAATATGTCCCTTCAACTAAATAGGGTGGGATGTTAGAATCCATTGTCCTCATTATGACTGCCTCAAACTTTGTTTCTTCATCACTAACTCTGTCCTTTCCTATGGTAACTGGCTGAGGCAAATCATTTGCAAGTTTTGTCAGATTTGCACTTGCAATGTGCTTCCAATCACACTAAATTAACCTCTAAAATTGCTTACTTCCACCTTTGCAGTATTGTCTGACTCCATCTTGTCTTGCCTTATCTGCTACTGATTTCCTCATCCATGTCTTTATTACCTTTAGATTGAATTGTCCCAGTGATCTTCTGGTCTAACATCTTTCGCCCTTCATAAACTTGTTCTTGTCCAAAACTCTCCTGTCTGTATCCTTACTTGCACCCAGCCTTGCTCACTCAGTACCCCCCCTGCTTGTTGACCTACTTTGGCTCCAGATCTGGCAATACCTTAATTTTAATATCCTCAACCTCATTTTCAAATTTCCCACAAGGCCTTTCCCTTCCCTAGTTCTGTAGCGACCTTTAGCTACACTCCTTCACAAAATCCACCGATGCAAATCTTCAGATATGCCTATTGTATATACCTAATGTTAAATACGATATCATCAGTGGCTGTGTGTTTAGTTGCCAAGACCCAGGCTCTTAATTCCCTCCCTAAATGTCTCAAGTTCTCACTTCTCCTTTTATGATGCTTTCTGAAGCATTGCTCTTCATCCAAGCTTATAGTCCTCTGGCCAATAGCTCAGTATGTGACTTGGTCTTAAATTTTGTCTTATAATATCCCTGTAAGGTGCCACAAGGCATTCTATGCCATTAAAGGTGCTATATTAATGCAGGTTGTTATCCTATGTTTTATTCATGTTGTGTAACTTTTTAACAGATCAATAAGCAGGAGTAAATACAAAACAATCAAAAAAGCATTTGTAGGCTTTTTGTTTTTACAACAAACTGACAAAAAAATCAAGTATATATGCATTGACTGTGTCAATATTGAAATAACATGCCTAATGACAGTGTACATTCCTTTTCCTACGTTACTACAGTGATTATACTTCACATAGAACATAGAACAGTACAGGCCCTCAGCCCACGATGTTGTGCTGACCTATTATCCTACTAAGATCAATCTACCCTGCATACCCTACATTTTACTATCCTCCATGTGCCTATCCAAGAGTCATTTAAATGTCCCTAATGTATCTGACTCCACTACCACTGCCGGCAGCGCATTCCACACGCCCACTACTCTCTGTGAAGAACCTACCTGTGACATCTCTCCTATACCGTCCTCCAGTCACCTTAAAATTATGCCCCCTCGTAATAGTCATTTCCGCCTTGGAAAAAGTCTCTGACTATCCACTCTATGTATGCTTTTCATCATCTTGTAAACCTCTATCAAGTCACCTCTCATCCTTCTTCGCTCCAATGAAAAAAGCCCTAGCTCCCTCAACCTTACCTCCATAAGACCTGCCCTCCAGTCAAGGCAGCACCCTGGTAAATCTCCTCTGCACCCTGTCTAAAGCTTCCACATCTTTCCTGTAATGGGGTGTCCAGAACTGAACACCGTATTCCAAGTATTTTCTAATCAGAGTTTTGTAGAGCTGCAGCATAACCTCACAGCTCTTAAACGCAATTCCCCTGCCAATGAAAGCCAATACACCATACGCCTTCTTTACAACCCTATCAACTTGGTCGCAACTTTGAGGGATCTGTGGACGTGAATCCCAAGATCCCTCTGTTCCTCCACACTGCTGAGAATCCTGCCATTAACCCTGTATTCTGCATTCAAATTCGACCTTCCGAAATGAATCACTTCACACTTGTCTGGGTTGAATTCCATCTGCCATTTCTTTGCCCAGCTCTGTATCCTGTCAATGTCCTGTTGCAACCTACAACAGCCTTCCACGCTGTCCACAACTCCACCAACCTTCATGTCATCAGCAAACTTGCTAACCCACCCTTCCACTTCCTCATCCAAGTCATTTCTAAAGATCACAAAGAGCAGAGGTCCCAGAACCGATCCCTGTGGAACACCACTGGTCACCGAGCTCCAGGCTGAATACTTTCCATCTACTACCATCCTCTGTCTTCTATTGGACAGCCAGTTTTGTGTCCAGACAGCCAGATTTCCTTGAATCCCATGCCTTCTTACTTTCTGAATGAGCCTACCATGTGGAACCTTGTTGAATGCCTTGCTAAAATCTATATACACCACATCTACTGCTCTACCTTCATCGATGTGTTTTGTCACATCCTCAAAGAATTCAATAAGGCTTGTGAGGGATGACCTGCCCCTCACAAAGCCATGATGACTATTTCTAATCAAACTGTGCTTTTCCAAATAATCATAAATGCTATGTCTCAGAATCCTCTCCAATAATTTGCTCACCACAGACTGACTAGTCTGTAATTTCCATGATTATCCCTATTCCCTTTCTTGAACAAGGGAATGACATTTGCCACCCTCCAATCTTCTGGCACTACTCCAGTGGACAGTGAGGACGCAAAGATCATTGCCAAAGGTGCAGCAATCTCTTCCCTTGCTTCCCATATATACCTTGGGTATATCCAGTCTGGTCCAGGGGACTTATCTCCTCGTTTTGCAAGATTTCTAGCACATCCTCCTTTCTAACAACAACCTGTTTGAGCATATCTGCCTGTTTCATGCTGTCCTCACAAACATCAAGGTCCCTCTCACTGGTGAATACTGAAGCAAGTATTCATTAAGGACCTCCCCTACCACCTCTGACTCCGCACACATGCTCCCTCCACTATCCCTGATTGGCCCTACCCTCACTCTGGCCATCCTCTTGTTCCTCACATAAGTATAGAAAGCCTTGGGGTTTTCCTTGATCCTACCCGCTGAGGTTTTCTCATGCCCCCTTCTAACTCTCCTAAGTCCATTCTTCAGTTCCTTCCTGGCTACTGTGTAGACCTCTAGAATCCTGTCCGATCCTTGCTTCCTCAACCTTAAGTAAGCTTCCTTCTTCCTCTTGACTAGGTGTTCAACGCGTCTTGTCAACCAAAGCTCCTTCACCTTACCATCCTTTTCTTGCCTCAGTGGGACAAACCTATCCAGTACCTGTAGCAAATGCTCCCTAAACAACCTCCACATTTCTATCTGTTGTATCTGTAATGTATCTGTAAAGTGATTTAGGCCATGTTATGGTTGTGAAGGACACTATATAAATGTAATTTATTATTGTCCTAACAGTTGTTGGGAGCTCACTCTGTAACCAAATTCGTAACAGCTCAAAATTGTTGCATCTGTTACTTTAATAAGTACTGAATTAGTTTCGTTTTATTTCATTTATTTCTGTCCTCAAACTAAAATAATGGAATGTCAAAGTTTTGACCATTTTCAGTTATTTTATTTTACTTTGTTTAATCTACTCTTCATTTTCAATTGCTCTTAACTGCAGAAAACTATTCATTATGTCAGCAATTTAAAAGTGAGCAAATTTATAGCTTTCAGGCTTTTGGATTGTCCCATTTAAAGATTTAGCCTGAGAGATACTAGGTACTGATAGAATGCAAACCTCTGTCGGTTAGACATTGTGCCCTTTGAGCTGTCGGTGGACTGAAAGGATAGTCACCAGGAGGAATTCTGGTTAAACCGGTTGTTCCCTTTTTAAAATGTAGTGCTGATTTGCACAATTGTGAATTTTTTTTTTAAAAGTAAAACTTTTGATGGATAGTATGAAGTTCATGATAAGACTGAATGAATGTCTAGGTTATTAGGTAAGAGAAAGCTGTTGTTACCTTTTTATACCTGTACTTTTGTTGATTCTAGATATACATCAAAGTACCCTTGCATGCATTCTGAGACCATCCATTATAAGCGAGGTGTGAGCCAGCAGTTCTCACTTCCTTCTTTTAAGATTGACTTCTCCGAATGGAAGGAAGACGAGGTAAATATTCCCTTTTTATTGACTGTTCCTTTTAATCAAGATTTTCTTTTATATGTTTTGAAGACAGTGTACTATGATGGAATATGAGTTGAGTTGATTCTCGAATGCCTAATTTCATACAGACATTCCTCACTTGTGAGCCAGGACAGTGAGTGCTGCAAGGTATTCTCTATGCAGTACAACTCTGTCACCACTCAGAAACTTCTAATATCCGTCATTCAAGGGCGCTTAGACTCTTTATAACAATGCTCACATTCCATGAATGAATTGAAATAAAGAGAATTGAGGATTGGAAAGGTAACTGAGATTATAAATATATAATTTGTTGTAAACGTATCTCCTTTGATATCGCAAATGGAATTCAAAACCAAGGCAGTGCTCGTATCCAACAAGATTAGAGGGTGAGTGAAGAAAAAGAAGAGGAAGAAGGAGAGATTTCAAGAAGGTATAGAAGCTGTAAGGTATAAATTGGAAGCTCAGTTCTGTTCCCTAGGTTTTGTTACCGGTAGCTTCTCTCTGATGGTTCAACCTTGTTAAAATTTATTAGATCCATTCATTGATGAATGGACAATCCAAATGATATTTAATTTAATTTCACAAAAATATTGCCTTTGAATTTGCAACAGAGCCTAGGTAACCTTAATATGGAACCCTGGACTTGATAAATCAAGGTTAATAAAAGCAGGCTACTTCAGATGCTGAAGATCTGAAACAAAAACAAAAAAGTACTGGAGAAACTCAGCAAGCCTGACAGCATTGTTTCGAGTCTGATATGATTTTTCTTTGGTTCCAACAAAGAGTCATATCAGACTCAAAGTGTAATCTTTGTTGCTCTCTTGCAGATGCTGTCAGATCTGCTGAGTTTCTCCAATATTTTTTGCTTTTGAGAAATAGACGTATACAGCAAAAGAACAAAAAGCTATGTTGGACCTATATAAAACGTTAGTTAGCTCTAGTGTCTGTACTTGTGTCCTCTGGGCATCGCACATTAGGAAGGACGTGAAGGCTTTAGAGAGGTACAGAAGAGATTTCCTGGAATGATTACTGAGATGAGCAAAAACAGTACACCGAGAAACTGGAGAAGCTGAGGTTCTCCTTAAAGCAACAAACTGTTTCCAGTGGCTAAAAAGCCAGTAACCAGAAGGGACAGATTTAAGGTAGATGGCAGAAGAATCAGAACACGAAGGGAAACTTATTACTTGATAAGTGGTCAGATTTTTGAAATGAACTGCATAATAGGATGATGGATACAGTTTCGACAGAAGCCTTCAAAAAGAAATTAGATAAGCCTTTGGAGGGACAGTTGCATGTGTATGAAAAACGAGCAAAGGAGTGGGAGTAATTTGCCATTTGTCTCTCGCACACGCTTTCACTTCCTACCTGCCACACTCTGCTGGGCAGTATCGGCCGTGTTTTCTCTCAGTCACGTTCTCTCGTACGCATGCAAGTTTGCCTTCCTGACACTAATTTAGATTGGCCTATTATCACATTGGTCTTTTCTTTCTAATCACTTTCTAGTTATTTTTGATCACCTTGAAACATTCTCATGGACCCAACAAGGCCTCTGGTCTCAGATTCCCTGTTCTTGGCATTTCAGGGAAAACCTGACATCACTTTAAGTTTCTTAATTACATAAATGAGGGATGTTGCTTGCTTCCTGTTAAGGGACACGGATCACTGCTGCACTCTTCGTTTTATCTCAAAATCTTGCCATTCCAGTATACGTGGTTCTTTATTTTAGGAGGAATAGTCTCCTTCCCGTGGAACCAGGAACAACTTAATGCTTCCCAAATTCCACAAATATTGCTTTCTCCAGCCCATTCCAAAATTATATCCAGGCCTGAAACTGATGCAGAGCAGATCATCCCAGGTATTCAGGTGATGCCTGAGGATTGCTTTCAATCGAGTGTTGGACCTCATGCTTTGAAAAATGTTCTGCCTTCGCAACACTGGGGTTAAACTCTACCTTTTAATGTCACATGTTATTCTTATCACTGGCTATGGGCAAAATGCAGGAGTCGCAGTCATGCAGCACGGAAACGGACCCTTTGGTCCAACTTGTCATTCCAGTAAAGGAGGTACCAGTTAGCCATGCTGGTCTGAGTTAGTTTTCTCTGATTTTTAGTTGCTAATCCAGTGCAAAGGTGTTGATCAATATCAGAGAAGAATTTTGGTTTAACTATACAATAATAATAATAATAATAAAGAATGCAGACTGGTTTCTTTACACATTTTGACGTTGAACAGTCTTGATTCAAAATGTTTGCAGTATTTCTTTTGTTTAATCTAATGTTATGAAAATAATTCCCATGAAGACAAATGGGACAATAACAGCAAGATAATAGTGATTACATATTTTGGAATATTGAACAGAAGGAATGGGTTAGGTCAGCTAGTACTAAGATGCATATGGGAAAGTCGGAATCTGGTTCAATCATTTAAAGCAGAGTACTGATTTTGCTTGAATATTTTAAAAATAAGCAGTTGTTTTAGAAAAGAGTATTGAAGACAGAGATGAAGAATTTCTTCAGTCAGGGGTAATGAATTTGTGGAATTCTTTAATGCAGAGGACTGTTGAGGCAGGGTCATTAAGTATACCCAAGGCTGAGGTGGACAGATTTATAATCAGTCATGGAATCAACGGTTATAGCGCAAAGATAAGAGAGTAGAGTTGAGGATTATCAGATGAAACATGAGCTCATTGAATGGTGGAGCAGACTCAATAGGCTGAAAGGCTTGCTTCTGCTCCAATATCTTCTAGATTGGTGTTATCTTGGATGAAATGAGATAACAGGTCAGCATACAGGAAACAAAGATTGGAATAGATGGGTCTTTTTCTGAACGGCAGGCTGTGACTACTGAGTTATTAAGGCGATCGAGTGCTTGGACCCAGTATACACAATATATGTTAATGGTTTAGATGAGGGAACTAAAAATGATATCGCAAAATTTGCAAATGAGTGTGAGCTACGAGGATGATGCAGCAATGCTGCAGTTTGATTTGAACAGAACAATTGAGTTGGTGAATGCATGGCAGATGTAGTATAATGTGGATAAAAGTGAGGTTATCCATCTTGGTAGCAAAAGCAGGAAGGCATATTATTTGAATAGCTCTAAATTGAGAGAGAGGAATGTTTAACAAGACCTGGGTGTCATTGTGCACTAGTCTCTAAAAGTAAGCACATAAAAGTGTGAAGTGATTCATTTTGGAAGGTCGAATTTGAATGCAGAATACAGGGTTAATGGCAGGATTATTGGCAGTGTGGAGGAACAGAGGATCTTGGGATCCACGTCCATAGATCCCTCAAAGTTGCGACCCAAGTTGATTAGGGTTGTAAAGAAGGCATATGGTGTGTTGGCTTTCATTGGCAGGGGAATTGAGTTTAAGAGCTGTAAGGTTATGCTGCAGCTCTATAAAGCTCTGGTTAGACCTCACTTGGAATATTATGTTCAGTTCTGGTCACCTCATTACAGGAAAGATGTGGAAGCTTTAGAGAGGGTGCAGAGGAGATTTACCAGGGTGCTGCCTGGACTGGAGGGCAGGTCTTATGAGGAAACGTTGAGGGAGCTAGGGCTTTTTTCATTGGAGCGAAGAAGGATGAGAGGTGACTTGATAGAGGTTTACAAGATGATGAAAGGCATACATAGAGTGGATAGTCAGAGACTTTTTCCCAAGGCGGAAATGACTGTTATGAGGGGGCATAATTTTAAGGTGATTGGAGGACGGTATAGGAGAGATGTCAGAGGTAGGTTCTTCACACAAAGAGTAGTGGGCGTGTGAAATGCGCTGCCGGCAGTGGTAGTGGAGTCGGATACTTTAGAGACTTTTAAACAACTCTTGGATAGGCACATGGAGGATAGTAAAATGTAGGATATGCAGAGTAGATTGATCTTAGTAGGATAATAGGTCGGCACGACATCGTGGGCCAAAGGGCCTGTACTGTTCTATGTTTCTATGTAAATGCAGCATGCAGTGAGGAAGGCAAACTGTATTTTGGCCTACATAGTGAGATTATACAGCGCATTGGCCAGGCCACACCTGGAATATTGTGTGCATTTATGTCCACCTTATCTGAGGAAGGATGTTCTTGCTATGGAGGAAGTGCAGTGAAGATTTACTAAATTGATTCCTGGGATGGCAGGACTGATGTTTGAGGAGAGATTGAATGGTTAGGATTGTATTCATTAAAGTTTAGAAGAATGAGGGGGATTGCGAAGAAACCTATGAAATTCTACAGGACTAGGCAGATTAGATGCAGGAAGGATGTTTCTGATGGTGAAGTCCTAAACCAGGAGGCATAGTATAAAGATATGGGATAAATATTTTAGGACTGAGATGAGAAGTATTTTTCACCCAGAGTACGGAGTCTGCAGAATTCACTACCTTAGAAAGTGGTTGAGGTCAAAACATTGTGTTTTCAAGAAAGAGTTAGCTAAAGCTCTTGTTGCTAAAGGGATCAAGGGATATGGCACGTTGGGTGAGTGGTGGAGAGGCAGGATTAGCTATGATCAGATAGATGGGTGACCGCCAGGAGAGGCAGGCAGGTAGTGCAGGAGCCTCCTGTGGCTATTCCCCTCTCAAACAGATGTACTGTTGGGAGGGATAGCCTCTCAGGAGTTTGTTCAAGCACCAGCCAGACCAGTGGCACCACAACTGGCTCTGCTGTAGAGCAAGATGGCCCAAAGCCCAGGTGAGCAATATGGTAAGTGGTTACGTGAATCGGCAGAGGATAGATGGATATGGACTGAATAAGGGCAGAAGGTTTGTTTTTTTTTTAAAGTTTAGCTAGGGCATGATGATTGGCACAGGCTTGAAGGGCCAGTTCCTGTGCTGTACTTCTCTTTTATTCTTTTGAATAGCAGTGTAGGTTTGAGGAGTCGAATAGTTTACTGTTACTCCTGTTTTCTATGTTCCTATGAAAGCACTTGAAGAGGCAGAACCCACTTACCTTGCTATAGAAATCAAATATCTTTTCAAAGTGCAGAGCTTCCACTGTAAA